CATGACAGTGACATCAATTGCACGCACACTACAAAAATTCTCTGTCGAAGCTGCCCACCTCTGCACTAAACACTATTTTTGAGTTCACCGAGGAAGGTGGTTCACAGAGATATCTCATTGTCAAAGTAAACAAATTTTTGGAAATTCTTTGCGACTATAATAATAATAGAATTGGTGCTTACACATTTGTTAGTGATTGGCCGGGCTTCTCCTCCGATTTGTGGCGTGCGCATTGATGTTGTCAAACAAGGGGAGGGACCTACAATTTTACGCCGACTACGAACGGCGATTGTATTTTTATGAGAAGCTGTTTTCATGGCAGAAATACACTCGGAGGTTTGCCATTACCTGTCGAGGGGCGACCGCTATTACAAAAAAACTTTTTTTTTTTGTTTTTTATGTTGGGTTGAACCGCTACACCACAGCGGCCGTCTATGATTCCACCCAATTAAAGGATCAGTACAAAAACTGGAATCAGTATCAGAGCCGTTGGCGATTTCCTGAAAGCATATCCTGGTCTCGCTCTTCAATAGAAGCTTTCATTAGAGTTCGGCGTTTTTCATATGATTCGGAAGGTTTCTCCAAGCTAACTGATTTCTATTTTCGAGTTATTTAGTTCACCATCTACCCAGTTTTTCAACACCGACCAAGGTGTTACTGGTGTCCTTGAGATGCGGCATTATTTAAATAGCGCGATTATTAGTCGTGTGGATAATCCCAATCCACTATCTGCCAGGGCTACTTTAAAGGGAAAATATAACAATGTTTATAAAGTGGCACTTAAATTTATACCAATACTCGCCATCTCTGTTCCAAAGGCTTTGCTCCCAAACAGGGATTATAGCAACGCAACTTACAAATCGAATTCCCGGAAAGCACTTAGACTAACACGTATTTATGCGTAGTTTGGACGCAAAATGGTTCCATTAGTTTCACTTTGAAATTTATGTGTGTACATTTGAATAAAAGCATTTTCACAATACCGTAATTTACGGCTGATTCTTAATTTGTGAGTAAATCAGAGCCTCAAAAAATGTTTATTTTAAATTGAGTAATTTTCTTGTACGGCAAACAATTTTCAGTAAGTGGTCCAAAATTACTAAATATCGATTCAAGCTTATTTAGATATAATACTTCTGTATGGGCATTAAGCCAACTTCTCAATGTGTAATTCCGAAATCAAAGCGAGACAGTCTAGTACCGTTCTTGTGTGTGTGTTGTTTTCACTTTTATTTCAACATATTTTGATTAAAAGAAAAATACTGATAAAAATAAAATATTTCACACAAACAACAAAAAATATAATCGATAATCGCATGAAACTATTGCCTGAAAATTTTAAAATGCACTTAGCAGCATTGTGCTACTATGATAGACGGCCGAGTAATCATAGTCGACTTATGTACAGTAGACTGTATCACTCCCCATACAAAACAAAGCGGTACTGTTTTTCAACCGGAATTATAAAACCTATTATATTTTAAGACTTCCTACAAAATATCTCGCAAAAATATTAAGATTTACGTGAGCTGGACCGATTTGAAAATACCTCCAAAAATTGAGTTTTTTATTAATAAAAACAGTTTTTTTAATATTTTTTGAAAAAATTACCTCAGATGACTGAACAGTTTAAGCTTAAAAAGATTACATAAAAATATTTAAAAAAATTCTACGGAATAATAATAATGAAATTTTTGATGTTGTTTTTGCACTTCTTTCAAAGACTGGTTTAAGAAAAACTTGAATAATTCAGCCAAAACCTTACCAATTTTGATTTATGAGGTACCAGTGGTAAGGTATCTTCTCACCCTTTTAATTTCTTTGCGAATAGGCTCATTTAATATATGAAAGAGGAAGATAAGATAAACGAGTGTCAGAGAAGCTATAACGTTTTGGTCTTCACCAGAGGAAATTTTTTGTTAAATGATTAATGAAATTTTCAAGTTTGATTTCGTGCATTGCAGAATTCGAATTACCATATTCGAAGCAATCGAGCCATAACCGCGAAAGAAACGTAAGCTCCAAATGTTTTTATTTGTCGTTTTTTTGTTAACCAAAATTCCATAATTTTTTAACTAACAAATACATACAAACATATACAACAGGCAAACAAATACAACAACAAAAAATAGTTCAAATTGGACCATCCATTCTCGAGTTATGCTCCATCTGACGTACGCAACTTTGGTATAGTACATATATGTACATAGAAATATTTATTTTTAATAACAATCTGGGGTTATATTCGATTTAAATAAGCTGGCTTAAATGAAACAATTAAATCAAATTCGTTTTTGTTTTAAAATACCACCATGCACTATTATCCCCACATTTTTGTGGAATTTAGCTACGTTTCTAGGAAGTGTGATTGAATTCTTCCCCTTTTCCCCTTGCTTCCAAAAACCATCCCTGTGGGTGGGAGTGTCAAATTTAAAAAAAAAAGCTACTTACAAAATCTTTAATAATTGAATCATGGTTGTATCTTACGCAGCATTGAAGTGAAGAATTACATATTCTTCTAAAGACCACTTGAAAATCATGATATTATTGGCATATTTTAAACCTTATATTTATAACATATATATTATAATAATATACTCTGCAATAATACTGTTTTTTTTTATTAAAAAGTCGGCTTTTCTTCGTCGATCGGTCGACTTTTAAAGTCGACGCTACAGAGTCGATCGAAAAGTCGGAAGTCGACTTCCTAGTAAAGTCGAACAATCCTAGTAAAGCAATCCTCTTGCTAGGGTCTGATCTTACGACTTTTTTATTGTTATTGCGAACGCTCCCATAATTTTGAATTGGCGACGTTTAAACAACGTTGATTTGCGGGGCTGTTAATTTGTATGGGGTAGTAAAATTTATTTTCCTTGTGAATCACATGTTTAAAGTCCATTAACTAACCCTTTATATAAACATACGGCATCCAAACAATTATATTGTAGTTCTTTAACTATTAGGCGAGACAATTAACTAACCCTTCATATGTATATATTTAAGTTGCGGATTAACTTCGCAACTCCCCTACTCCTACTTGCTCCTGTGGAAATTCAGAAACGTCAGTAGATAGCGACGCCATAGTAAACATTTTCTTCTACGGACAACATATTAACAATTTCTTTATTAACTACCGTACAGTGCTTATTTTTTGGACACAAAATTGATCGAACCTTCAAGTGGTTTTGATTAATAACACCAGGCTGAGGTTCAAATAGCTTAATTTTTGAGTCTGGCGAGAGGTCTCGGCTTTCTCTAACCCGCAATAGAAAACTGAAACAATCAGATTCCAACATTTTGAAATGATACAAAATTTAAAATAAATTTACATGTTATGGATGTGTGTACAGAGACAAGAGCAAAATTTTGTTTTGCAGATCTTCCGCTGTATCGCTGCTTACATTTGCACGAACGTAGCAATGCTTTGCTCGATATGAAACAAAAACAGGGACGAAAGCGATTAAATCGTAGTGTTAGAAAACTATCGATAGTATATACATTCGATTGTTTCGATAGTGATAGTGCAAAATATTCGATACTATCGATACTATCGAAAGCTTTCTTACATATGTTGAGATATAACACTAATGCCCGGTGTTACCAACCAATATCAAAATGTATCAAACTTAAAATTTAAAATAGCACAATCTTCTAAAAAATTGTGCCATTTTAAATTTTAACGGCCTGACAAGTTAAAAATTGATTTTTAAAACTGGGCACAACATTTTGTAATTATGAAAATTTGAATCCTTTTTTTATGGTCCTAGAAAAATTTGGCAAGTGATATGACAGATTCCATCGCCTGTAAATTTCTTCGTTTCTTCTTTTACTATATAAGACAACAGCAGCCAGGAAAAAATCTTATTCTTAAATAACTCATTTTGTAACTACAAAAGCCATAAAGATTATTTATTTACACAAAAATTACTTGTGTAAAACAAAATGAGATCGTGTATGTATTTCAATAACATATTTTATAACAAAAACTATGAAGAACATGTTTACAGACAAAGCAGTTCACAACATACATATATACGTAGGCATGTGCGTCTTTTATAGTCCAATTCCAACAATGTGAACAACATACAACTATCGATAGTGTTTAGAAAAATTCGATAGTGGCGGAAAAATGAAACCATCGATACCATCGATAGCCCCATTGATAGTTTTCCATCACTATTAAATTTAACAATTTTTCATTCTCTTATATCCCGATGAGATGCTGCATATCGAAATGAACGTAGCAATGCTTTGCTCAATGTAAAAAATTTAAAATCTTTCGACGCAAATATTTCGAAAGTGGTTCATTGAATCTTAAATCTGAAAAGTTTGTGCCAAGTTTCAGATCGAGCAATTAAATTTAATGTATCTCTGTACGATTTGTAGATCGCTGGGAATAAGCGCCTTGTTTTAGAATAATATATATACTCTTCTTCTTCTCTTCTTTGTGGGCGCTGTAGTCGCCCAGTCCAAAACAGCACGCCAGTCGATTCTCTCCTGTGCCAACTGACGCCAATTGGAAAAGCCACCTGTTTTTTCCAACTCAGAGGAGGCCTTCCTCTTTCTTGTTACCCATGTTAAATACTTTCAAGGCTGGAGCGTCTCTGTCCATTCGAACCAGCTTAGCCAGCGGAACCACTGTATTTTAATACGCTGCCCTACGTCTATACCTTTGTAAAGCTCATACTGTAAGACTCATACAGCTCACGGTTAAATCGTCTGCGGTATTCATACTGACATATACTTATGTTCATACATATGTAGTATGAATTTAGCCAGCTCTTTGTAATAAATAGCTAAAATAAGAGTTACACATAAATCAATGACGAACGATGGCTAGCTAATTAATATTGCCGCCTTATACAACGGTTGTCAACTGCATTTTAACCACCACTCAAACTGTAATTAAATCATAGTAATGCAAATTATTAATAATTAATTAACTCTATTCCCACACTTAAAAGAACAACTAACATAGCGACACATCTCTCATCTTTCAGTTCGTACCAGCAATCCATATTTCTTGTGCTCTAAATTACCCCCGCATTGGCGCTCCAATAAAACGTTGCCCAACTCCTTCAAAGTAGTGGCACTCGTGGAAGTCGGCGACGGCACACTGGTGACGATACGGGCTGGAAACGACGAGAATTGCTGCGCTGAACTGAGGAACTGCACGGCGGTGATGAAGGATCATGTGGCCAAGTTTAATGATCTGCGCTTTGTGGGACGCAGCGGCAGAGGTGAGTGATTGACAGCGGAAGAATGAAGTATTTAAGTAGTGAAAGAAATGAAAGTAAATAACTTAAATGCAGAAACGCTGGTGTAAAAATCAGAAGCATCAGCACAGGCACCTTCAGCAGTCAATAATGAGCCAATATCGCAGCGTTTGACTTCCGTCATTGAGTGCTTGGCATTGTGAAGTGCTTTTTCGTTGCTGTTGAAACTTTGAGTTGCATTCTCGTGTAAGAACACACGTTACGTAACCTAAAGTGAGACAAGTAAGTGGCCGCATCTAAAGCGGACTCTAACCCAAACGAGCGGGCGTTCCAGTAGGCACTTGCAAAAATTACATCTCCGAAAATTGAGCGTTGGCGAACCTGTGCAGCAAGACCAGTGAGGTTCACTCACAGAAGTCGTCACATTATGTCCGCAAGCCTGAGGGGCCAGGCACTTAATGAGCTCGCTGTATTCACATACCTAGTATTGTATATATTCATGCATACGTAGGTATTTACATTAGGGTGGTAAGAAAAAAAGTAAAGTCGGAATTATAATGTTCTCAGCCCCTAGGATTATTTTATACCGAAAAAATATACCTCTTTTTTTGAAATCAAAAAAATATATAGAGGTCGCTCAAAGCCCTCAAAGTTTTCCATGTGTTTTATTTGGGGGAAAACACTTTTTCCTCGAAATACTAGTATATAATTCTGAAACTCTTTATTTTTTAATCGGAAAACTCGGTTTATCTTCAGGAAATCACCAATGGTAATACCCAAATGTTTCTTTAACCATTTCAAAATACTAACGATTTTTTATGGGTTCCCCATTGCATTTCTTATGGTTTTTGGCAAACCTTTATAAACTATGAAAAAATGGTTAAATAAATCAATTGGTATTATTATTCGAAGTCTGCTGAAGAGTAACAGAGTGTTTCGATAATAAATATTGATTGCCATGAATTCTATACCATTCCTACGGAAAATTGTTTTTTTTTTGTTTTTAATAATAATAAATAATATATTGGCGCTTACACATATGTTAGTGTTTGGCCGAGCTTCTCCTCCGATTTATAGCGTGCGCCTTGATGTTGCCACACAAAGCGTAGGAGACTTGAACCCAGGCCCTGCGGAGTGGGACCGCGCACTGTTTTTTCCCCCTACAAAATACATGGATATTTTTTGATTTTAAAATAAAAGAACGAGCATATTTTTTCGGTATAAACCAATCCTAGGGGGAGAGCATTAAAATTCGGAGTTTACTTGTTTTCGGACCACCCTAATGTGCATATGTGTATACTTACCTGCAAAAAGTCGTATGCCGTACGCATTCGTGCAACTTGCTGATCCACAAAAGCCTCTCAGCCCTTGCAACCCTTATAAAATTTGCATGAGACATTTTCAAATTTCGAACCAACAAAATTGGGTTCAATCGTCGAGGTGTAATTCTGTAGCAGCAACTGAGCGTGCTGCAGTCAAAAACTGCACCAACTGTCATCTCCCATCCATCACGTGTCCATGCGCTTAGCTGCAGCTCGCCAGACGTTACATGGATTGCAATTGTTCCGGCTCCTCTTGCTTAGTATTCATATAACCTGGCCGAACAGCAGTAAATTCTGACACGCAACACAAAATTTTGCCATCAATAATCGATTTTAAAGTGTGTATTTTAGCATTGTTATTGTACTGCGATTGCAACATGTCATCTATATTTTGTTTGACGGTAGATTGGTCGGTCGGCAGCGCCTGATAAACACTGCAAGTGCACGCAAAGTGCAGGCCGGCTGCGGCATCGCGACAGCTCGCTAATTCTCTATCCAAACTGGCAATTAATTGGCACTTGGAAACTTATGCGGTAATTAGGCAGCCCGTGCAACAGTTGGTTAAAATGTGCTGCAGTTGCGCGAAATTAGGAGGACGGCGCACTTGCGTAGGCCACGCTGGCAGTTCGAGGCTTTCCTGGAACATAGTTACCAGAGGTGGGCACTACCAGAGGTGGGCACTACCACAAACAAGCGTTAGCTAAAATTGAGAATGTGTTAGTGTGCCTAATTCATTTTGCATGCTATCGCGTTCTCATCGTTACGCTCTTGCTTGTATACGTACACACGATGATTGCGCTCTTTGAGCGTGTGCTCGTTCTCTGCCCATGCCTGGTTATGACTATCGCTTATAGTAAAACACATGCATATCTATGTATATATGGAAGGTTTGCATACTTTACCTATTACTTACGGTTTACGCGGTTACGAGCATTTACGCGTTTCCTTGAATACCCAAAATATTTTTGTATAAAAGTCTAGCTAGTTATACAACAAACGCAATATAAATCCACATTTCTAACTTTGTACAAAAGTTATAAAAACTCAACAAATTTTCACCAAAATTTCAAACCTTTTATTCAGAATTTTTTGGTATTTAGCCCAGGGTCTCCCGAAAGTGGGTGCCTGGAGAGTATGCCTGGGGTGTCGCTAGTGGCTAGAGTATACTAGAGGTGCGGGAAAATTCTTAAAACATTCTATATAACAACAACATTACAACGCAAGCGTTTTGATCAAACTTCAACATGGCGGCCAGAAAATCAAAACATTTTGATTTTTATTAAAATTACCTTCGGCGGCTCGTCAAAACCCCATACACAACACAAATGGCTTGCAGCAAAGGGATATTTCGCTTTGTTTGTTAAGCCGCTTGTGTGGTGTATTTCGCTCTTAAGCCTAGTGCCCCAGTACGTTTTGTCAACGAAAAATTGAATCAGAAAATTTTCAGATAAAAAGTCAAAAACGTAGCCTTTTCACAACCATTTTCGGTACTTTTGTAGACCTAATTCGCATTTCATCCAACCGTCTTCTCGTTTTCGGATTAACTTTCGGATTTTTTGCTGGCTGAGCTGTTCTCGTAACAAGCGCAGCAGCTTCACGCACGTGTATATGTTACTTATTCTTTGGAACTTCACAATCACACTCTGAAAGAGCGAATCAACGCGATTTTAGAGGCAGTCGAGAACGAACTTATAAGAAGTTTGAAAACTTGTGAATTTTTTAGTTTGCAACTTGACGAAAGTATCGGTATTGAGTAAAACCAAATGCTAGTGATAGTTTTAGATGTCAATGGATTTTTTCGAGTTTAGCTCAAATAAGGAAGATCTATTTTTGTAAAAAACGTATATACGGATTTTTTGATAAGAGGAATTCATTTTAAATGTTCCTTTATTATTAGATTTTCATAGTTTTTTTTTTCAAATAAATATCCAAATTCGGTCTTTATTAAAAAGTTCAGTCGCGATGTAATTTCAAACACCGCAATTAATATTTTAAACATTAATGCATTTTTTTATTGTATTTGGTTTCATTCTTTTGTCTACTTTTTCTTCAAACTTTCCTTCTTTTTTGCTTTTTATTTTGTTTTTCAAAATCACTGTCATTGCATGCATTTAGGCCATCACCGTAGCCATTATCCACCAACAAATATCCAACAATAATATTGATATTTTCTTTCAAAATCAACCACTTTTCAATTAAAACACCAAAGAAAGTCATAAATTGCTGTTATGGAAAACCCACAAAATAAAATAATTGCTCAAACCAGTTGTTCCAGCGATTTTTAGACTAAAACTTTTAGAACTGTCAAATAGCAAAATTACAGTCTCAAGCGAGAGTAATAAAATAAATATGGCGATGATTTTGATAATCGAGATAAAAAGCGAAGAAGAAGGAAAGTTTGGTAAAATAGAAGATAACAGAATAAAACAAAATATCTACAATGAATAAATTTATTTCGGTTTAAAATATTGATTGCGGTGCTTAAAAGTAAATGTAAATTTCACATGGCGAGTGATTTTTTTTTTTGAAAATACATCTAATTTTAATATTTATTTGAAAAAAAAAAACTCAATGAAATTCAATAAAATTTTGTATACAGCGCCATCTAGCGCATAGCTAATAAAAATAAACATCAAAAATGAATTCCTCGTATCAAAAACCTTTATATGAGTATTTTCCAAGAATACTTTTCAAGGACTTAACCTAATTAAGCAATAAATTGTGGGCAAGATTTCAATCAAGGATATATTCCTTATTTGAGCTAAACTAGAAAAATGCCATGAAAGTAGTATTACTGACACCTAAAACTATCACTTGCATTTGGTTTTACTCAATATACCGATTTGAGCTGTCGTGTTATTATAATTTAATGCTAGCCATTGAGAATATCATAATTGCATATATTAATAAATGAATAAATAATTGCATTATTTAATATGTATAAACAACATACATTAGGGTGCCTATTAGAAAATTTTTTTTTTTGAAATTGGATTTAGGACAGAAAATACGATTTTGTAGATTTATGAGTTTTTGAATGACTATTTCTGATTCGATTTCAAAGATCGAAAATGATCTGAGAAGAGAATATATAGGCCTTTAAAATGGTATATAATAATATGTATATTGTCGAACTAGGCTTGTTGGGATTTTTTATCTATAAAATTGAAAAAACCCCATATTTCTCTTAATTTTTGAAATTTTGACCATCGATGATTTCTAAAATTTCAAAATATAGAGTAGTATCTAAAACTAAATCTATTTTCAAATAAACTGATACCTCATTTATTGCAATCGCATAAAAATTGTCGAATTTAGGCGCATTTTCTTAAATACGGCCTTGAATTTATATGTGTGTATGTACCGGAATTTCAGATTTTTGGAGCAGTGTGGCTAAGCAGTTCATCAGTATATTTTCAGAATTGATACATACCAAAAAAGTGGTATTTCAAGAAATTTTAGGAAAATGGGGGTGGCACCGCCCACTTATATCATATATGTATATCTCAAAAACTACTTGACCGATCGCAACCATTGCGCTTAGGCTTCTTAAGCGAAGTATTGAAAACTTTTGAAACCGGACAAAAAATACGACCTCCACTAACGTAACGGCAATTTCAAAAAACTCAAAGCTAGCTATATTTGAGGAGGAGTAGGTTTTTTCCGATTTCCAAAATATTCAAGACGGTACTTAAGGAGGCT